ATCCGCTGAAGTTGGTACTAACTTCGGACTAGCGGCGGTCTCTCGGTCGGTATAGTTCGCTTGCTGACTAAAGCCACAAAGTTTGTTTGTATAATAATAATAATAATAATAATATAATGGACCTATTTCACTGTTGACAAACCAGCAAATAATTCTGAATGTATGTGGTTGAGATATCAGCCAGAAGGGCTCACAAAGTAAGTCAGATGTTGACGCTAAATGAAGGTGAGCGGTGAGAGTCATCCCATAGACGCACGCTTTGCTCAAGAGCTGGTTTGGATGCTAGGAAGCAGAAGAGTATCTCTGCCGTTGCCTTGAACGGGTCGTCCAGTATACTGACTAAACTATTCCGAGGCTGAGTGGAAAATATCTCAAATCTAGATCAGAAAGAATGAATCGTATTCCATCTTTATACTGTAACCGATTCCATGAATCTGACTCAGCTCACTCAGCTCCCCAAGAAATTAACCATATTTTATGGAACATGAAGGTTTATTGCCGTGTTCACACTGGCCTCTATCCTTAGACAGAAGAGTAAAGGCCTAGCCCTCTCTCCGATAAAGTTTCTGAGCGTAAATATAACACAAATATGGCCACGTTATAACATAATCCTTGTACTTCTGTATCATCTGGCGCTCCGTTTTGAGAAGCAANTCTTCTACCCTGAAGATGGAGGCGATACGTTCCTCCGAAACATCGGTTAACACCACATATACACGGTGCCAAATCCCAGAAGACTGCTTTCTTCAAGCAATGTCATAGTTCATTCTGTGTGCCATTTCATAGAGACCATCTCAACCGATGTCGCCCGCTGTCCTGTCTGGACAGAGCTTCATGGGAAAGTTAAGATTTTTTTAAACGTGTTCATTCAAATTTCTAACTTATGAACAATTTAGAGTTTTCTGCTATCGCAGTTTGATAATGCATGCTAATAACGTCACTTATTTTAAGCGTTCTGTAATCTAATTTCTCGCTTAGTATCGTTTGGTCTCTTATCTTAATAGTAGAGTTTTGGGGAAGTCAAAGCGTTATTTTTAAGATTTTTATAATCCAATGTTTTACGTACCTCGTGTCCCAACAGGACACATGAAGAAAATCACGAATCCTTTTCAATCGTCCAATTAATCACTCAGAATCATATGACGTCCCATCCAAGCTATGACTTTAGCTGGTGCCATAGCTCCGGCTGTTAGTCGTCGGTTTCCCACCGAGGCAGCCCGGATTCGAGCGCAGGTCAGGCCATGTGGGATTTGTGGTGGACAAAGCGGCACTGGGGCAGGTTTTCTCCGAGTACTTCGGTTTCCCCTACCAATGCTCATCCCACTGATTGCTCCACATTCATCATTTATCATTTGGGGTCGGTACAACAGACAAATAGTGACTGTCATACCAAGTGGACTCAGTCTCACTCCACCCCAAGAGATTAAAATAACTATAAATCTTAGGAAATTCTAGTTTTTCATCTTTATGTGTCCAAACTTGTCAGTCACTTAATATCATATCGCATTTCATCCTAAATATGAAACTTAGGAAACTGAAAATTTCCTGTACCCCATCTTGCCACATGCTCACCTAGTATCGTCTGGTATCCTGTCCTGACAGTGCATCATAGCAAACTCAGAGTTCTTCTTGAGTCTGGAATCCAGTGCACATTGGTTGGGCCGTCTCGTGTCCAGTTCCCTGTGCTTGTCTTCTCGTGCGAAGATACAGTAGCGGGCCACCAGCGGGTCAGGGGACGGTATCCACCCCACCGTCACCGAGTCACACTTCCTCATGCTGTCATACTCGTGCACTTGTGGCCCTGGTGGAAGTTCTGGTAGAGGAAACTTCACTGCCGGGCGACTAGTGACAAGGACCTACAATAGGAACCAGTTCCAAGTTTATGTGCCTGAAAGTCCATAGGTGCATGCTTCATGCCCCGGGCGGCCGGTGTTCATGAAATCTGAGAAATTTTCTCGAATAAACCGACAGTCGGGAGAAGCTGAAGACTAACCACCTCTTGCGGAAGGATATTATATATTCCTCAGACCCCTAATTCGCCTTAATGTAGTAGTGGTTATGCAGAAGAGCAACTGTACTTATTTTGTCGGGAAGATTATGTAGTAAATTTTTTTTTTTAAATTCGCTTAGTGGGGGGTGGAGTCCAACTGGGTCCACTCGGCACGGCGGCCACTGATTGGCCTATTGTAGCCTGCCCCGGGCGATTATGATAATGGAGAATTTGGTGGAATTAAGATTGGCAGGGGAAACCGAAGTAGCCGGAGAAAACCCGCCCCAGCGCCACTTTGTCCACCACAAATCTCACTTGACCAGACCCGGGATCGAACTTGGGCCGCCGCGGTGGGAAGCCAGCGGCTAACCGGGGTTCAAGATAACAGAAGCTGTTAATACACGTATGTAACTGGCACATACGAGGGAGGGCCAGTAAATAGGTCACAAATGAATATAAAAAGTAAAACGTGATATTCGAATTTGGAGAAAGCAGTCATTTCTCGACGTATCCTCCTCCAACACTGATACACCTGTCCCATCGCTTTACCAGCGCTTCGAAACCCACAACATAGAAGTCTCTTGTCTGTTGTCTCAGCCACTTCTGTACCTCCGTTTCAACCTCTTCGTCATTAGGGGAACATTCGCCACCAAGGCGGAACCGTTTCTTTACTCCACAATCACTTTCCAAGATAAACAGGAAACATTTCTATCCTTTGCACTGAGTACTTTTTCCCACAAAAAAGCAAAACAGAACGCTGCTCTTCGGTAGTATATTCGCAAGCATGGTCTTAACAGTAAAGTTAAGAAAGGTAAAGTCTTCCTGTGCTTAAATAATCAAACACTACGCCATGAAGGCGTATGGGGAAGTGGATGTATAAATCCACATTTTATTGACCTCGGCACTAGCTGGAGGTGAGTGGTCAGCTTCACGCGCCTTAGTGGAAAAGCTCCCGGTACCCATTTGATAGGAAGTTGTGTGGACCCAATAGCCAGTCTTGACGTCGTGGAGAGGAGAAAATTCTTGACTACCGGAACTCGAACTCCAATCCCTTGGTTGTCCAGCCCGTAACTAGTCGTTGTACCGACTGCGCTATCCCGGCTCTCCATTTACCTTTATTTCTTACTCAAAATTAAGTGTTGATTTCAGCGTTTGTAATACATGTGTTGCTTTGCTGGAACGCATCTACCGCTTAAATACAGAAATATCTATAACAGGACGATACGTATCTTGTTGAATGTGACCAGCGTACCAACGGCTGAAAGGAACGTATCATCACCCTCTGCCACACTGCGCGCCGTGTCGTCCCAAAGATATTACTTTTCAGTGTAACAGGAGTTCCCCACCGCTAGCAGTTATGCAACGCCTTACTTCTTATGCCTGCTCTTTGTCAACTAAATGTTCTGTGTTGTATTTCACAACGATGTCAGTAAGTCAGACTATATGGCATAATATGATATTATAACATGCAGATCCATGAGGCGACGAAAAGAGAAGTCTCAATTCTGAGACAGTAAAATATGGTCGCGAGTCCCAAGGGACTCGGACCCGAGAAAGGCTTCGCTGGCAGCAGCATATACAAAAGACAGACCCGTCCTCTCGTCAGAGAAGGCGCCCCACAGAAACAAGACCGTAATTGCCAAACGGTAATAATTAATATCTGGTCATGAGCCCCAAATGGGACTCGACACCAAGACACTGACTGACTGACCGTCAGTCGAAACGTGACTTTAATTTTGACTTGAATAACAAAAATTACCTTGGGGAAGCGGCGTCGAATACCTTCACCGTGATATTGCGAGTCGTAGGAGGTAACGAAAAGGGAAGTCTCAGATCTGAGACAGTAAAACATGGTCGCGAATTTCAAGGGACTAGGACCCGAGAAATACTGCGCTGGTAAGGACCAGCAGCATATACAAAAGACAGACCCGTCCTCTCGTTAGAGAGGGCGCCTCACAAAAATAAGACCATAACTGACAAAGAGTAATAAATATCTGGTCGTGAGCCCCAGATGTGACTCAACACCAAGACTTATTGACTAGCTGACCGTCAGTCGCAACATGACTTTGACTATGAATAACAACAATCTGGCCTTCTGCCGCAGATGCTGCCTGATACCAAGACAGGCTGACCGACTGACAGTCGGTCGTTATCATAACTTTGATGCTGGTTGAGTTTAGTTGAGAGTTGTGAGAAATGAGAAGCTGGAAGCTGAAGCCGGGGGGCCGTTCGGCAACCCAAAAGAAAGGAGACGTCCGTCATTGAAGCCGTTACCAAGCAACGGCTAGTGAAAACTGAGAAGACATTATGTGTGCTGTAGTTACAGTGATCTTTGGACTGTGTAACTCAGACGGTCCTAGTTATTTGCAGTTACATTCTGTAAGCGCCCAATAATCCAGTTACCAATCTAAACCACTCTAAATCTAAAACTCTAGTAATAATCATGTTACAATATGATGATTAGTAAACAGTTAATTGGAGAGGATTTGGGAGGAAACGTTAGTGGCATAATCGAAGTAATATCACAGAATTTACCTGGAGGGATTGAGGAAAACCATAAATAACCTTGAATAGGCGGCCGGGATTCGAACCGAAGATTTCTCGAATGAACGCACCCGCTTGGTAAGCGCATTCTGAGAATCAGGTGCATGGGCTAATCACGCTCCACAACGAATCAGTTTATATAGTTGCGCCACGCTGCTTACACTCGCTTTCCCCAGACACACATAATGAGTCTACCGTTGGCCAGGAATAAAAAAGTCTTACTTACCTTAACAGCCGAGATTCGGCGTAGTTCCTCTGAGTTGGAGGCCGTTACTCGCAACACGTATCGCTGGCCGCGAGATGGATTCATCACGCGGAACCTCTCGTATCCGTAAATTAGTTTCCGGGGTATGACCGCCTCTCCTTTCAGTGTGAGTTCCACATACACAGCGCCCCCACACGGCATCACGTAGAAATGCATCTCACTTTCTGCATTCTTCCCCACCTGCAGACATATTATGTATTGACCATCCAGCACATAATTGTGTTACTGTTTTATTTATTTACGGTTGCTCGTCTGTACAGTGTACAGTGTACTGTACAGTGAAATAGCTCTATCTCGGTGCAACTCGTGTGAGGACATGGCGTGTTGCTCGTCTGTACAGTGTACAGTGTACTGTAAAGTGAGATGGCTCTATTTCGGTGCAACTCGTGTGAGGAGATGGCGTGTTGCTCGTCTGTACCGTGTACAGTGTACTGTAAAGTGAGATAGCTCTATCTCGGTGCAACTCGTGTGAAGACATGGCGTGTTGCTCGTCTGTACATTGTGCAGTGCACTGTATAGTGAGACAGCTCTTATCTCGGTGCGACTCGTGTGAGAACATGGCGTGTTGCTCGTCTGTACAGTGTTCAGTGTACTGTACAATGAAATACCTCTATCTCGGAAACCGTTCGCAATAGGACACATGTACATATACACTCCTTTTTCTCAGAATGACCGATACTATGACCTCCCAGAATACTGACTATTCTTCCCGGGACATTATATATATATACACAAGTAACCTTAGCGGACATTTTGATTTTTAGACATATTGACGAACATGAACCGGAGGACGGGGCACAATGTATGTTTAGAAGTAATTTTACCGATAGCCCTAAGATATTCATAGTAACGTAAAATTATCCCTGTGCTTAACTAGTTAATCACTACGCCGTGAAGACGTATGGGGGGTGGAGGCATAATATTGCGTTCATCGACAGGTTATTTTAATAGAAAATATTCAGGGTAGAATGATTTTATAAAGCTATTTCAATTTTTTAGATTTGAATTTGTAGGGGCGTTAGCTATAAAGAGTACCTGCGGTGCCTTGGGAAACCGAGACGTTTCGAGGAATCATCGTCTCCATTTTCAGGGTATAAGAATAAACCAATCAAGAAACAAGCATAATGCTCTTCCGAAACGACGGACGCTCTCCAAACTATTAGGTGTAAAAACTCAGAAGACCCTGCTCTGTCCATTTTGATTTATTGTATAATTTTTTATAAAGTTTCCTTATGTTTCTAATATTTTTTTTCCAAATTCTCGGGAGGTGGAGGTAAATATCTGGTTTTTCCTTCGGTCGGTGCCCATGCTGACCAATTACAGAGCCCAATTTACATAACGTAATAAATTAAATGAAATCAAAGCGAACCTTTCAATTTTTGGCCAACTTATTTTCGTTACCTTGAACTTAAAAGTCGCCCTTCCGTCCATCTTTCTGAGGTTCACGGTAGACGCCTTCCCATCTCTCAGTCCGGCTGGTTTGCTCCGTGGTTCATACTTCAGCGTGGTTCGGCCGTACGGAAAACTAAGGTTGGTTCGTCTGTTTACGGCGAACAAATTGAAGTGGTATACTTTTCCATGCTCCAGGTTGGACACAGTGTAGCTGGTCTTGCGCCCCACACAGCCAACCTTACAAACAAAATGTCATCTAATATTATTATAATAATACATAAATTGCGTAGGTCGACAAATGAACTCACTTTGAGTCAGTATCATTATGCTAAAAAGAAGGAATATTGCAATATCTGACCACGATGTCCTCGTGCAGCTGGCCTCCCGCGCCACCGCTACCTCGTCCCAGGCGACTGGCGTTCAGTCTCGCTGCTTTGCTGGCAAGCTCGTTCTTATGAGCCTCGGCCTGTTCTCGCGGGAAGTTAAATCCTGGAGCGTTCGATGCATCAGGGGGAGACACCCCGTTACGCTCCCCTTGAGCCTCACAAAGAGTAGAATAGTAGCGCCTCGTGTTAACCACCAAACAATAGTGCATCAAATGGGGGTCCACAGAGCTGCAACACAGATACAGATACAGAAATAACTTGAATCCATTGACGTATAATGACGGTTATAACCGTCGTCATAATAAATTTATATGTAACTTCAGTCGATGTAGTGACTGGCTACTGGTTGGACGGTGAATGTATAGGGATTCGATTCCAGGCAGGGGTAAGAGTTCTCCTTCACAGCTTCCAGACCGGCTTTGGGACCCACCCAGCCTGCTGTCCAGTGGTACCGGGATTGTTTCCCTTGGGGTGAAGTAGTCGGGGATTGAAGATAATTGTATGTATGTATGTATGTATGTATGAAGGGGTAGGCCTGCTCGGCCCTTGCACTTAGACCTCAGTGGTCCATTGTGCTTCCCCTTTTTAATTATTCCCTCAACAACCCCACGCTTCGGATGAAGCGCAGGATTTTGGACGTGGGGGCGTCGAAATAGTCACTTGGTTCCATAAAGTACTGACCTAAGTGACGTAGTCTTAAAGAAGCTAAAGCCTCACATTCACACAGGACGTGTGTGGCTGTTTCATTTTCTATCTGACACCTCTCACAAGTGGGACTATCACTTAGTCCCAGTTTGAACAGGTGTCCTTTGAGGTGACAGTGTCCTGTAAGTAGTCCTACCACCCATCGTAGCTGGTTCCTGTTGAGCTTCAACAGTTCCTTCGCTTTTTTATCAGAAGGTCCTCGTATGAGTCCCTTAGCTTGCCTGAGTCATCCTTTGAAGATAATTACTCATCACCATTTAGTACCGAATTTAAAAATTCGAGGAGTTATAGAATACCTCCACTCGCCAATACGTATTCACTCCATTTAGATTTATTAAGTAACTCCTGTTTCCTATCCAATGGGTACCGGGTGGTCTTTCCCCTGAGATAAAACGGCAGAGACTTGAAGCTTACAGCTCATCTCCATCTAGTGCCAAGGTCAAGAAAATGGAGCTATACCGTCACTCCCCCATACGTCTTTATGGCAAAGTACTTAACTAAGTAAGCACAGGAATAAGTTTTTTCTTAACGTTGTTCAGAAGTACAGAATTTCCTTCGAGGCTGTCTGGTACACCATTGGATATATTGGCTACAACCATTGCATGCTGTTGAGGAGATAAAAGGAAATAGGCCCCTACTTTTCCTTGCAACATAACGAGTGCACTACTCCTACTCATGAGCATAGGTCATTCATACATTCATTCATTCATTCTTGCGATTATTCTCAATCACATTCGACTGCCAACTCTCTCAGTTCTCTGCTGCAAATGCCAACTCCGGAACTAGACTCAAGTCTCAGCTGCAGCTGCTATCTCTTCTCATTTATCCTCAGGAGCTCAACTCCCGACTCAATTCTAGTTGCGTGAGGCCCTCCTTATATAGTCTCTGGGCAGACCCACAGAAAACACTGCTTCCTCTATTGTTGAGTGTTGATTTATTGCTGCAGAAATGTGTTTACAGCACAGCTGCGTACCAGCGACCCACAGAGAACGCCACTTGCAACACCTCTTCTGTTGTTGCATGGCGTTACAGCGTAGGTGACACATTCCTCCGATGCGTGTGTACGGGCCATTACCTAGTAACGGCTGTTTCTCCGTTTCCGCCGTTTTTGCTTTGACCAAACGAGCCACACTATTTATTTTTGTTCGACGTCAGTGCAGTGTAACACCTACTTCTGTTATGCTCTACTAGGAATTTATTAGGATTTTAAAACATAATTACATAAATATATGTCACGTATTCAACATCAAAGACTCAAAACTTTGTCTACAATGTTTGTATGTTTCGTATTACACTCAGAATAAAGAGCATCAACGGACTGTTGTTTGGAATGTGGACGCGACGTGTTTCCTGTGAGGTACGACCTGGATTCGTAATTATTTAGGTGACGTGCCTGCTTCAGAGGGTATATTCTTTCTGTAAATCGATTATAGATGTCAGTACTGTCTACGATATAATTATTTTTCGATACGGCGAATACCTATTTATCGACGCACAGTAGAAATGAATTTCTATAATAATTTATGCTTCAGGAAATGTGATATAGTTGCTGATTAACTTTGTTAACAATCGATTTGTATCTGATATAAATCGACATCGAGGCAAATGGAGCGTATAAGGAGGTAAGACATGCCCATAGAAGTCCAGTCAGGTGAATTCATTACGCCGTTCCAAATTTTTGCATATAGAATTTAATCGATATGTTTGAATTCGTGAGTGTCGGCTCCACTCTACCAATCCTAAAACCTTAAATATAGGATGTTACATTCAAACCTCCCACATTTTATCAGATCTTAGAACAGAAATTATGAATAGTAGGAAAATAGCTACAGGAAATACAAGAACAACTAAAAGAAATTTATTTGACACACTAATAAACCTCTACATATGCACCATTGGTAGCACGAACAGTATCCAATCTGTATTCAGTTTCTTGCCACGTTTTTTCCAACATGTCCATTGGTACAGTAGCAATCGTTTCATGGATGCGGGCCCGTAAATCTGGGAGGTCATTCACTGGAGGCATGAACACACGGTCCTTCACGTAAGTCCAGAGGAAGAAATCGAGCGGTGTGAGGTCCGGTGAACCTGGTGGCCACCGAATTAATCCGCCACGTCCAATCCAGCGATCTTGGAAGGTGGCATTGAGGGACCTCCGAACATCCAGACCCCAATGTGGGGGGGGGCTCCATCTTGTTGGAAGATTATGTTAGGCCGAAGATCGGCTACCTGGGGATACAGGAACTGTTCTAACATGTCTATATGCGGCCAGATACTGTAGCTTCACCGAAGAGAAACGGAAATAAAATTCTTTGAGTCTTTCTTTCATCTTGTGTTAATTATAATCCGAAATTTATCACAATTTGTTCGCAATGATTAATTAAAACGTGGGAGGTTTGAACGGAACACACTGTATTTAAGGTTTTAGGATTAAGAGGCTATGATAAGCTCCTACAAATTATGCAATACATTTAACGCTCTTGCATGCGGTACAGGCATGTCACAGGCGACAGTCGCTGCTTGCATTATAGCCTCTCAAAATGCGTGCTTTATAGTTTCTAATATCCCATTTCATATGATATATATTTAAACAAGAACTAAAAGTCTGTGACGATGGTACATTAGTATAAATATTATGTTTTTGGATCGACCTGTTAATTTTTCAAAACACAGAGTTTCGGAGACTTGATTCTGCCCAACTGAATAGTTTCTATCTGAATACGAATACCGAATCCAGTCTCCGAAACGTTGCGTTTTGAAAAATAAACAGGACGGTTTTTAGATAAAGACAATACGATGGATAATGTCCAAAACAAAATATTTGATATCTGTGACTTTAAAACATATTGTTGCAAAGTTTATCACAGTATATAGGCTTGCAACACCGATTAGTTTTTCGTAGTAGTTCGAGTCGTGACTGAGTTACCGAAGCTTTCTGTGTTCTCTTCAGTCTCTTCTGGCAAATACAAGAAGAGTGAGGTACTTTAAACTAGATCAATGTTTTGGAATTTTTTGAACCGTGCGCCCCAACGATCGTTTTGGCAAAAGCTGTAGGAAGGATAAAACTTCTCTTTGTCAGGGAACAGTATTTCACAGCTATGTTTATTTCAGTGTTATTAGTCACTTGCCCTTGCATACTCAGATATCTTTTCCTTTTTTCTCCCTCCTCCTTAATCATCACGTTCTTCTCCTCCTACTCGTAATCTGGTCTCCGTTACATCATTTTAATCTCCTTGTTCTTCTTCTTCTTCTTCTTCTTCTTCTTTACTCTTAACTCAATTTCGCTGCTCCATAATACGTGCACATAGGACTAAGGAAAACCACGACCACGAAAGTTTAGAGTCAGGCTGGACTCAAAATATACACAATTCGTATACCACGACAGTGAACGACACAGATAGAATGAATCACTTGAGTGATTTGTTTTTGTTTACTTGCTTTCAGTAGCCCAGATTATCCGGTGTTAAGTGGGAGGGTATTTGTGAATGCTGAATTTGAAATATATGGAAAGAAGTGGGCGTGGTCTGTATAACGCGGCCCCAGATATTATAGCGTGTATAGCCGTTGCTATGCAACGATCGTGAGATTGGCAGTTATACCAGACCAGTTTCTGGAAAACGGCTCGGATAAAAATATTCCCTCTGCAAAGGTTAGCATACGAGAATGAACGGTGTTGCCTACCTACACGGTCCATGCCGAGGGGTTAAAAAGGAGAAATTTCGGGCAACCAGGTCATTTGATAGTTGGTAGTCAATTCTATATGGATCTCGAGCACGGAAGCAGAGGAATAGCTATTTTTAGAAGCTGTTACCAGGAAACATCTAGTGAAGACACTGCAGTTCGGAAAATATTTGGTGTTTATAGCAGTGATTTGTGAAGTGTGGAAATCAGTGATAGTGTTATAGTTATCTGTAGTTAGACCTGTAACTGGTTAATAAATTCAATTACCAATCCGAACCCCGTCTGTTGTCATGTTTATGGGTGACAATATTAAGAAAAAACACGAGTACCCCACTTTCGGTCCGAAGCTGAAATAATAGATTGAAAAGGCATCGTTAAATGACATAGGAATCAGTTATCATCTATCAGTCGCTTAATAGATGCCCTATCTCTTTACATAGACATTCCTGTGCGGCGTTCGGCACGCAGGTGGTCTCAACCTGTACCATATCTCAGGAGCATAATAAGAAAGATTAACATAGAGCCGATTTACACGAAGAGAAATCTGTCATAACGCTAATTTGTCCATCACATATCCTAGGTATTGAACCCAAGCCGCCGCGATAAAAGTTTAACGCCTAACGGACTGAGGTGTGAATCTAGTTAACGGGTTAAGACAATTAATTTAATATAATCGTGAGTTTCCTTCATTAGTGGATCAGTCTGTCGATAGAATTTACCTTCACAAAAAACAAAAAAATTGCGAACGAGTTTGCGAAGCTACAAATTCGTGTTCGAGAAGTTCTTGGTTCGAATGTAGGCCTGGACGGAAGGTTTCGTACTTCCCCATTCCTCCAGACCGA